CAGTTGGGAAGCCTATAAGTATGCAGCGTAAAACTGCTTTCAGTGTTTTGTGAGAGGATCTGTTCCACATGTGACCTGTAGAGGTCCCTGTTGCACCACGACAGTGTTCAGATGTGTGTGTGTGTGTGTGTGTGTGTGTGTGTGTGTGTGTGTGTGTGTGTGTGTGTGTGTGTGTGTGTGTGTGTGTGTGTGTGTGTGTGTGTGTGTGTGTGTGTGTGTGTGTGTGTGTTTATGTGTGTGTGAGGGTGGATGGGTGCATTGGTCAGGGCTGCTGTGACAGTCACCGTGTGCGTCTGATTTTTAGCTTCTCTGGCTAAAGGTCACATTCCTCAAATGTTGATAGGTTAAGAAGGTAAATCTTGTACATAGAGTGTGGCAGTTGTTATACTTATATTTTTATTCAGTCCCTGCAGAGAGAGCATAAAGATGTCTATAAAAAGAACAGAATGTGTCCAAATCTAATTCTTTCTTTGTTTATGTAAACAGGATTTTTTTAAAAATTAGGTCTGACCTTAAACATTAAAGTTTAGGTTGGACATGCAAGTTAATTGTGCTTGTGTGTGTGTGGGTTAGGGTTAGGGTTAGGGTTAGGGTTGGAGAGACACATTGAGACCAGACAGAAAGAGTGCTTATCAGTGTTTTCGGTAACCTTAATAATCAAATGAACCTTTAATACAACAACCAAAATTGGCAGCTTTATGAAAGTTTTACTTGAAAAGGGTATTACTTACAACTAATTACTATCTTGTGTGTGTGTTTGTGTGTGAATGCACATCTACTAGCAACAGAAAAGTGTTTTAATTGGACAAATTCAAAACAATTCCCCTGGATTGTGTTCAATGCTAACAATTTAAAATGTTTAATGCCCCAAAATAATCTATTTTCACGATATGCCGGGCAAATTTAACCAAGTTGAAGGACACGGTCAAGATGAATAAAACAACAGTAAGCTGGCTAATGTGGAAAGGAGTATTTTGTGAATGTAGAAAAGTGTATACAGCTTTTCTGTTGGGTAACCAGGCTCCGACGTCATCACTGCCCACAATGAAACACCGGGCTCAGCACAGCAGGGGGTGGTGAGAGGGAAGGAGGGATAATAATAACTTTCTCCCTGGGGAAAGGTATACCAGGGTGGAGGTGGGATCTTTCAAGTGCTATATGAAAGGCGGTGTAGGGGACAGAAGCAGCACAGAGCCGCAGCATATGAAGCTCAGCGTAAGTTCAGTAAGTTCAGAAAGACAACCTTACATTAATTAATTCTCAATAGACGGATAGATGACAGCAGCCCCACGTCACTGCCTGGCGATATGACAGCCTGGCCCCCTTTCCGGTGAAAACTAATAATGGCGCAAGGAGGAAAAGTAGTTCCATCATGCCTAAAAGCTGCTTTGTTGTGGATTGCATGTTCAAAAAAGATCAAGAAGAATACATCTGTGTCTTCAGGCCACCCACAGAGAGAATGGAAAGCGTAAACAATGGGATCCGGTCACCCAATACGTGAATGTCTGTGTGAAACATTACATCACAGCTGCATTATGATACTGATAATGTTAACGTCAATCGTCAAAGTAAACAGTTATAATGTTAAAGTCATAGCAGTATATGTAGTCGCTGAATTGCAATTTAAAACAATGACAAGCCAAGGTTTCCCTGCTGCCTGACATTGATCCCCTATTGCTTTTAATTTCACGTTATATTGACTTTGACAGCACGGATTGTCATTTTTCTTTTACTTGCTTGGCAAAGATTCATATTTACAGACATACGGGGAAAGTACCCGGATGGGTCGCTCTCATGTATTATGGAGCCTCCATTCTTACCAAAAACATTTTGCCACGATCTCCAACAGCCAATCATCATGCTGTCAGACTTTCAATCTGTTCTTCTTCTCCTGCTGTCAGCTGTCATTCCAGGCGTCAATGCTGCAAACTTCCTCCAACCCACTTCCTGTCATCAAATCCAGCGCTAAACTTATCAGAAGCCCATTCCTCATCAATTCCAGATCTTCAGGATCCTCTTCATCCCATCAACATCACCTTCAGTATCTAGACCCTTTGGAGGCGGTTACTACTTACAGCTGCACCTTCCCCTTAAGATATATGAAAGCCCAATGGGGTCTAATCTCAAAACACTATTCACATTTTCTATCATCAGCACATGTCAATATATTTGCTTTTAATCAAAGTAACGTTTTGATATACCACTGTTGACCATGATCATTGTCTTTTTCTTCACCACACTACTTGATGCATTGCGGTCCGTTCCAATATGAATGCTATACCAGTGTTTTTTGGAAGTTAACAGTCTATTTGGCATGTTGGTGGAAGGCATCCCAAAGCATGATATGAAATGTGTAATGAACAGTGAAAGTGTGACATAAATGCACTCCCTTTTACAGAGGGCATGAGGTTTTAAAGGTCCACTATTATACTGTTTTTCATCAATATATTATAGGTCTCAGATATATACAAAACATGTCTCTGAAGTGTTTGTCTGAAACACCAAACAGATCATTGCAGCATCCCATAATCCCCTCTGTTTCAGCCCTGTTTCAAAAGTGCTGATTCTCTGTCTGTTACTTTAAGGCCCGGACACACCAAGCTGACACCAAAGAACTGACACAGACGGACCCCGACTGTTGCATCGCCTCGCGTCTCTGCGTTTTGGCCATGTGTCGCACTGGAACACACCGCAAAGACTTCAGCCGACGGCCAAGAAGCACGTACAAACTGCGCGTGAGTGGCAATAACTCTCCTTACCAGCAGGCGGCGGTAGTGTGTATTCGTCATTCAAAAGAGGCAACAACCGGAAGACAGACTGCGTGATAACCGAGAGAAGAAGAACAGACTGCGTGATATAAACAAACAACAAATAGCGTGTGCGTTCCATTTTCACTCTACAGCGAGAAGCTCATGGGGCTTTCCCCAACCTGTGTCGAGAGCTGGAGTTACATTAAATCTCAGATTTGCCTTCTTAATAGTTTGTTTGGGTCCCTCACTTCCGTTTCGCTTCTCATGCACTGATTCGCTAAGCTGAACAGCCAATCAGAGTGATTTCTTTTGCCGACTGCCTTTGGCCGACTGCCTTTTTTTCCGGCCAAAAAGGCGCCGGCACGGCTGAAAAGACACGACGGTGGGGGACACACCAATCTGAGTAGGGCGTGTCGACGCTCATCGTCGGCCTGACGCCCACCGACGGCCAAAATCGGCTTGGTGTGTCCGGGCCTTTAGATGAAAATAATGAGCCACTCCCCACGCCCCTCTGAGAGATATCTGGTTAAAAAGAACACAAAGGTGCTCTAGGAGGAGATTCAGGTGATAAGGTGGGGGGGGGGGGGGGGGGGGGTTACCTTGGTTTTTATATAAATGGATCAGGACAAAAAGTGAGCGAATCTTTTTTCCTGAAACTTTCACAATCACTTTACACAGAGGAGACACATATGTATGTATAAAAGACATGAAAAAGTGCATTTTGCACAATAGGTAGATAAATGATAGTATAATAACTCCGACCCTGATATACTTTCTCAACCTCCTTATAACTGCGTGTTGTTTAATACCAGATACTTGAGAAAAGTACAACCTGTGCTGCACTGACTCGCAGTTAGACTGAAGCATCTCCGAAGACAGACGAGCTGAGAGAAGAAAGAGGGACGTTGGAGGGACGTTGAGTGACAGAGTGATGGCATTAGATTAGAGCGGGTGTGTTGGAAACAGCTGAAGAAGGAGGGAAGAAAGACATGGAGGACGTGGTGACAGAGAGATGGAAATGACAGAGAGTGGGTGCCGGGGATGTTCGAGAGGAAATGTCTATCTGCTGAAATGTGCATTAGCATGTCGTCAGGGGGAGAAGGCCGTGACACTGAATGGAGGTGACACAGTAAGATGTGAAGTTGCTGAGTAATCCACCATCATTTCCATTTCCCGTCTCTTTCGCCCTCATATGGTCTGTCAGGGTTGCTCTCTTTGCATCCCCACATGTCATCCCTTCTCTGTATCTGTCATCCTTACAGTTGATCTCCAGCCCTCTCTAAGCAAGAAAAAGCACTGTTCCATTAGTCCAATGCAACTCCTTAAAATACGGTTTTAAAAATGGTCTGCAACAACAAGTCCAAACTTTCTGCCTCTGTCGCTTCACCATCAAACTCTATCAATTTGATTGATTTTATTCACAAACAGATAAGATTTGATAAGAAAGCACAACCATTCCATCAAGTATAATGGAGTTATGTGAAATGGGACACCATAATAAATTAAACAAAAGGTAATTAGAAGTTAGGGATAATGTGCAGCTCGGCGGTCATTAATGAGAAAAGAACATCGACAGGGTGAGCAGGATGATTGTATTGCGTTGGCTAAGAAAAAGATAGTCTGTTCTACTGCTTGCAATCTTAAAATAACAGCAGCAACGATTGAGGTTTTCTGTAACTGTTCAAGTCTGTTCCCATTTACTTAGCTGTATTCTTTTTCCGTTTTTTCTCTAATTTGTTATTGTTTTAACCGTAAAGCTGCCCTGACAAGATGAGTGGTAAAATGGCTTTGCGCTGATTTTGCCGCTATCTAAGTCGTCGTGCCCTTGCCATCACACACAACTCAAAATTGTTGAGTGCTACGCTCAAATTCAAATTATTTGAACTTTGTCCCTAATTGCCACTGACCTTTCGACGCACAACCAATCAGATAACAGCTGTATCAGAGTTCCCGTTAGCCGGTAATTACCGGACAATGACCGGTAAAATATGCCGAAGTCCGGCAAATCTAAATCTCTCCGGTCAACATGTCCGGTAAAAATATGTTGCCCTTAGCGCAATATAAAGTGTATTCAAATAAACAATAAATAGATTTTTGTTTTTGTTTGTTTAAATTAAATTAAATTATCTTTTGTGTTAATAGGCAAGCGCACTGTAGGCCACGGCGTAATGTGGAACGAACCCGTTACATTTTTTTCATTCAGTAAGATAAAGTGGGCGCACAATAACAACAGGACGACAGAGAGATGAGAAAAATCGGACATGGCAAAACAAGCTAAGCTTAAAAAGTATTTCTTTAAACCAAGCAGGTCTAATGATGATAATACCGACAATGAGATGGCGATACCGCCTGCTGTCAATGAGACCGTAGATGCCTTGGCCCCGGACAGAAAAAAACAAAGATCCCGCGCGTTCAGACCCGTATGGAAAGATACATTCACCTGGCTGAGGTGCGACATTATAGATGGGGAAGAAATTCTGTTCTGCTCACACTGCGAGAAGTCGGGGAGAAAGAACGGGTTCACCAAAGGAGCAACAAATATGAGAACCTCTGCGCTTATTGAACACAGTCAGAGCAATGAGCACATTTTGTCAGTGAACACAATACCACAACAAACCGCAATGAAAGGCCACTGCGAGAGGGCGAATGAAGCTTCCAACATGAAGCTATGTTCTCAGCTAAAAGTCGTGTTTCACATGGCTAAAAACGACATTGCAGGTAATCAGTATGCAGGGTTGACTGAGCTACTACGAGAAGTGAAGGCTCCTGATTTTGTCACAGGTGATGGAATTTACCGGCACGGTGATTCCGTTGATGACATGGAAAAGGCCATAGATGAAGTCCTGATTAAGCAGCTGGACGAAAAACTAAAGAAGAGTGACTTTATCGGAATAATCATTGACGAGACGGTTAATATCACTGTGGACAAAAAGCTGATAATATACGCCAAGTTGCAAATTAAAGGAAAAGTGGAGACGTGTTTTTTGGGAAACTATGACGTGCACTCCGGGACAGCACAGTGTATATTTGACAAGGTGGATGAGGTGCTCCGCGAGAGGGATGTGAAACTGTCAAGCGTCATTGGCCTGGGCTCAGACGGGGCTAGTGTAATGATGGGCAAACGTGCTGGAGTTGGTGCTCTTCTGAAGAGAGAGAGTGCGTTTTGCATTCAGGTGCACTGTGTTGCCCACCGAGTTGCGCTGGCCGAGATAGATGCTGCAAAAGCTGTGGACCAAGTAGGAGTTTACAAGCGCACAGTATCCTCTGTGTACTCATTTTACAAGCACTCAGCCAGCAGGACCAATCGCCTCCGTCAAATGACAGCAGCGCTCGGGGATGAAGATGTGAAAAGCCTAAAGCAGCAGTGCGCTGTCCGCTGGTTATCCTTGCACAGGGCAGTGGAGGGTATCAAGCTAAACTGGCCTGCTCTGGTGATGGAGCTACATGAAGAGGCTGTTGGAGGAAATGCCCAAGCAAAAGGCATCCTTGGTCAAATCCAGCCATACTGCTTTATCGCCTGGACTCACGCACTGGCTGATGTGCTACCTGTTATGACCAAACTTAATTTGGTTTTCCAGAAAGAGGATGTCAATCTGGCCACAATCCGACCAATGGTTCACGCATCAGTTGCGGCACTCACACAGTTGAGGGATTCCCCCGGTCCCGAAGAAGAGAGGTTTCAGGCAGATTGCCAAAATGGCATGTACAGGGATGTGAATGTGACACACGCAGATGACCGGTCCCGGCAGGCTTTCAGTAATGTCCGCGTACGCTACATTACACATCTTATAGATGCTTTACACAACCGCTTTCCTGAAGAGTCCCTGAGTATTATCACTAGCTTTGACGTCCTTCTGAACCCATCCCGATACCCAAATGCACAAAGTGGTAAGTATAGGCCTTCCTAAAATTGTGTCACAAGTTATTTAAATGTGTTTATTTGCGTTACATAAAACAATTCATTATTTCTCCGTCCCTTCAGCGCTTCAAATATACGCTGAACCAGCCCTCAAAACCATTATTGGTCATTTTGGCCAAGGGATTGCCAGTGAGGATGACTCGGCGCAAGCCAGTGCCCCTCTCATTGATGCCACAAGCGCCCACAGAGATGCCATCCCCGTGATGACAGCGCTCCGCGGATACGGAGGCTTGCATTTCTTAACGGCTTGCGAAGTCCTCGTAAGAGATTTAGGCAACATCTATCCTGAGTGGGCCACACTGGCCAAGATAGCATGCGTGATCCCTGTCTCCAGTGTGCCGGCAGAGAGAGGATTCTCTCTACAGAACAGAATCAAAACAGCGCAGCGAAGTCGGCTTGGCGAGAACAAGGTCACACGGCTCATGCGCATTGCCAGTTGTGGAGAGACACTCGGGACCTTTGATTTTGAATCCGCAGCTACCCACTTCACAGGTCTGAAAAAGCGTAGAAAGTAGGCTAAAACATCATAAGCTAGGCATTTTGCTCTAGTTTTGTCAAAGAGTTTGTGTTACAATTTGTTTAAAGGCTATTTGATAACAAGTCGGCAGCTGCGAGCCTTTATTAAAATGCTCACGACGGGCCATACTCTTTTAGTTTGTGAACAAATAATAATTATTATGTTTTATTTTATCCGACTATATGTAGGTCTACAGCTGAATAACATGGGTTTTTTGTTTATTATATTATGGCTTGCGTAATATAGGCTATATTTATTTATTTTCCGTTACGCACGATATTGACAGAACTTGTTTGAACTTTTATTAAAAGTCACTTTTCAATAAATATACATCTGAATGCCTTGATTATTTCATCCTTAATATAGAGTTGTTATCAATTTGTTTTAAAGCTCAATAACAAAGAAGACCTTTGACCGGGAAATTTCGAATTTGTCCGGAAGATTTAAATCCTAACGGACATGGTGACCGGCACACATTTTTTCTAACGGGAACTCTGAGCTGTATGTAGCAGTGCAAGCTAGCAGAGGAAGTAACCAAACAAACAAACGTAACTAGCTGTTTTCACGGCAAGGTTTTGCATCTAACCTCGTATGAAGGCAACTTAAGGGCTAATTTACTCAACAGGGAACATTTGTGGACATCATACGAAAAAAATGACAAAAATACAAGACCGTTTCACTAACTGCCATGAGACTAGGTCGGACACTGCTAAGCTGCTATCAGTGGAATAGAAACAAATGTGTGATGGCGTATGGTTGAAGTGAGTGTCATGTGTTATTTACGGGACACAGCAGATGCCTGGGCAGCATGGTTTGGCCTCTTTGTTTGCCCACATACAGACACCATATTGACGGTCTAAATTCATAGTGACAATTGTCATAAAGATGACTTTATTGACTACACTTCACAGAACAATGCACATCTTCGTCTGTGTATGTGTGAGTTGTAGGAATGCTTTTTTACCTTTTAAAAAAACACCAAATGTACATATTTTAGCAGACTTGAGTGTCAAGAAAAAATGTATTTGAAAAAAACATTTACCACCAATAAAAAAAAACACAAAATGCAATTCATCCTCACCAACAGAACACAACAGGTCTTCATAGCACCAACGTTGTTTGAAAGTGTCTAAACCTCCAATATAAAATCCGAACTCTAGCCAGAGAGAGACGGAGAAAGAGAGTAACTGTGTTTTCTGCCCTCAATAAGTGAACTTTAAATCACTTGTGCTAAGTGTTGTATTTTTGTAACACAGACAAAACATGAAAGGTCATTTAGAGCTCAGAGAGAAATTACCATACACACACACACACACACACACACACACACACACACACTCAGGAAAAGGAAGATAAATACACAGAAGAAGTGAATGTGGTGTGTGGATCCTGGATGGATTGCATTAATTTATCATCCTCCCATTTCCCTTATTCCCCCCACCACAGCTGGAGCAGCAAATGTCAGTGAGGTGTTAATTGCTGCCGCCTCGTCTCTCAAGCCCTGATGCACTAAAAGCACTGGAGCATGTCAATATGTGACGTGTGTGTGTGTGTGTGTGTGTGTGTGTGTGTGTGTGTGTGTGTGTGTGTGTGTACTGTATTTGCTTGTCAGTGGGTGTGTAAGAGACAAGTATCTGAGTAAAGGCATCACGACTCAGTGGCGTAATAACACTTAATACAGAGTGAGGCATGTGTTTAAAGAGGCCCTATCATGCTTTTTAGGGCTTTCCCCTTCCTGTAGTGTGTCATAACGATTTTTGTGCATGTAAATGGTCTGCAAAGGGTACAATCCCTGTGTTCCCTCCAGAGGGAGTTTCTCTCCCACACACTCCCCACCCTGCCTGAAACGCCTCCATTGGACTCCTTTGTTTACTTACGCGACATGATGACATCACTATGTAACACTTGAACTTCCATTGGCTAGCGCTTGAACACATTGTACATGATAGGATAAGGGGAGGGACATGTGTACGTGGTTGACCAATCACAACAGAGCCGGCCAGATAACCAATCAGAGCAGACTGGGCTCTGGTTTCAGCCAGAGGGTGAAAAGAGGTGCTGCAGCACAGGCAGTATGAGAACAATAAAAAGCTTTTTGAACATTAAAGCATGGAAATGTGTCACAGTAGAGGCACAAAATATAAATATGAACGTGGACATTTGCATAATAGGGCCCCTTTAAAGCTTGTGAAAAACCTACTCCTTTTTCTGCTTTACTTTGTACTCTCTCTGTCTGTTTTACATAGACAAACAGCTCTCCTTCCATCTGACCCAGCGTAACATCATCAGCATAACACTGTTAGGTGATTACTCGCAGAGGGAGCAGGATGTAACCGGCTACAGAATATCATGCAGCGCCACCTGATTAACAATCTGTCTGAGACGTGTTTTGCGGCGTCGGCTCTCCTCCAGTGGTTTTGGCTGCTGCCTCAGAGGACAGCGTCGGGACAATGACTGGGGTCCAAGAGCACTAATGGAATCAGGAGTGTGTGTGTGTGTGTGTGTGTGTGTGTGTGTGTGTGTGTGTGTGTGTGTGAGAGAGAGAGGGAGCAGTGGGAAAGGAACATCACTCATTGTTGAGCCCGGGGACTGATTCTGAATGAGGAAGACGCTTGGAAATTCAAGTCAAAAAACAAAGCCCTCAAACAGATATATACCATTTTCTTTCTCAACATTCTTCTTTCTCTTTTTGTTCAACATGACTCATTCTTGTTCACTCCGTGACACACTCTCAACAACCTCCACTGTTCACCTTCATGTGTGATATGAAAAATGGGGGTCTGATATGCTTCAATTACACCTACGCTCAAAAGGCTAACTGTGACACGATCCAGCCCAGTTTTAATCAGTATTGAACACACTAGCACAAACATTCTCTCTTTCCCAAAAAATGTCAGGTATTCTGGGACGGGTCTGCTTTCTGTCCCCAGTGTTTAGTTATTGTTCCAAATATGTAACCCGCTCTGACCCATCTTGACATTTGAAGACGATAATACATGTTTAAGGCTAGTAAACACAGGGTGACAACTTCAGCAAACACTGTCTCCTCTCACTCTGCTCTGTGCCGCAACCCCCTTCCTGAAATAATGAGTGACAGGTACACAACAGGGTCCATGACAGTGGGTTTTCATCTGATGGCAAACAAAAACAAATCCTTGGCTTTCAGGATATCATAATTTTATTGCAGAATTCAGATGACACATAGGGCGCTGATGCTTGAAAAGGTAAGATGACGAGCGACGAGCCACTTAACCACAGAGACAGTACAACAAGTGATATTTGTGTCCTTGTGAAATACGCACACACTGAAGAACACTTATACACTCTCTCACACACACACACTCACCAACCTTTTTCTGCACTTTTCCTCATCCGAGTGGAAAAAAATAATCCTGGATGCTACTAGCTTAAAATGAGGTGCCCCCCCCCCCCTTACTATTAAGCCTGACTGGATCGTCCTCTTAAAAAAACATTGGCTTAAAACTTGTCTGCATACTTTGAAGGTCCTTTTCTCATTACCGGTCTTGAAGACAGTCATTATACTTTATGTGACATATCTTGCAGAATATTTGGAGAACACAAACAGCACATATATCATTGGAAAGCTAAGTATCTCCTCTTTCCAACATTGTATGTAACTCAAATGATGTTTCAACGTGGATGTGACATATTTTAATAGAGCAGGTCTCATATCTGGAACAAACTCAAAGAAAAGGTCTGCAGCTACTTTCACTTCTTTTAAATCCAGTGTGAAGACTTTTTATTTTTGCCGCTGCTTTCAATTAAATCAAATAACTTAATATCTTACGCTGCACTGTATTTTTTATCCTTGTATTTTATATCTTTCGCATTTTAATTTAGCATGTTTTGTTTTTAGTTGGGTCTCTTGGCTTGTAAAGCACTTTGAATGTGCACTTTGTGTTGAACTCTGCTATATGAATAAACTTCCCTTGCCTTGCGTTGTGAGAGAAGCAGTGACGAGCCGTCAGGGCCCTCTAGGCCCTCTGTGAGGGCCTAAGATATTCTAAAAAATAATATTTAAAAACATTTAAAAAATATATATTTTTTTTAAATATATATTTTTTTAATATTATTTTCGTTATATTTTTCATTAGTTTTACTGAAAAAAAACTTGATTTAATTGTATTTAAAACAACATTTCCAAAGAAATAAATCCTTCGAATCTGCCTGTTCAGTCTCTGTTGAATGTGAAGGGTTACATGAAAGAAGCTCGTCTGGCCCTCTCTGCGATTCACAGAGGGCCCGCTATAGTAACTGAACGAGAGAGTAATGTCAAATGACAGTACAATTGACCAATCATATCTTCCCTCTAAATGGGTGGGTTTTATTATCGCGGACTTTATGACAAGTTCCGCCCGCTGTGAAACTTTTTTTGTTTCCATAGCAACAACAACTTCCTGTCAACAGCGTGAACTCGCCTTCAAAATAAAAGCATGCCAAATTACACTTAAGACATACAACTGCAACGAAAGTAACAAACACAATGCAATATCATTTTCAATGTCAAAGAACACAAATGGGGTTCACAGGTGTTGTTTTGTGTGGTAGAGGGTCGCTGTCATTGATGCGTTTTGCACCCTGGGCCGTTGTTTTGATATTCCGCTGAAGTATACGCTGTGACGTAATAACTCTTTTTTTTTCTTTTTTTCGAGGGAATTGGTGGGGGTCAGAGGGCCTAGGTATAAAGCTCACGGCTCGCCACTGGAGAGAAGAATAACACAAAAGATGTGTTATGTATAAGGTTTTAGGGGAATTATTGGTCGTGAAAGTGCCTCTGACTTGGAGTTCAGGATTGGCAGAGAGAAAAATGGCCACAGAGGCTGAGGAAGACACAAGGCAGACAAACAAGGTAACGGCAGAGAATGAGCATGATATAGAGTCTGTGTCTGCACACACACCCACACAAGTGAAAGCGATAACACAAGATGGAGAGATGCAGAAAGAGAAACAGAAGGATGCTAAAAGAGGATGCATTTTTCTTCCTCTCAATTAAGTGCTGTACTTTATCTATTGTTACTTCTCACTGCCGAGACCCTCAAGCTCTCAGTCAACTGTGGCGAAAACAGAAGAAAACGACCCTATTTGTATTGAAGTGCTATTTTCATGTCAATGCTTCTTGTTCTGTTTTCTCAGGGTCTGTGTTGTTTTTGTTTTGTCAGAGATAGGGAACTTTGCACCCTCCGGATCTGTTCCACTTCCTTGTGTTCCCAGTTCGCTCATCAGTGCGAGTCTCTGTGTGT